TAGTGCGACCGAGCAGGTGTAATCTGTGAGCACAAGCAGGTAAGTTCAGAATAATTGAAAACCAGTGCATGGTCGCGGTATTCCACAGTTCCGGGAAGATGTATTATGCTTTTGCGTGATATAATTACAATCGTAAATAATCATGATGATACGAGTAGATCAAGAGTAAGTATTTTCTGCTCATGCGTGGTATAAACAATAGTAAATAATCATGATGATACGAGTAGATCAAGAGTATTGTGTATTGGAAGCCTCTACTGTTTCAGTAAAAAGGAGAGTACCTACTAAGTTAAAAAAAAGTTGTGTTTGCGTGTTGTATTACATACTTTCATTTTGTTTAAAGATAATGAGTTGATAGACTAAAATTCTAAATTATAAATAAACAACTTGAAAAAATCGAACTGCTTAGTTGTTTATATTTATAATTTAGTTTGAGAAACGACTCTAATCGCTAAGAAAAATTTTAATAACTATAAAATTCTAAAACCTATATTTTTGGATTTATCGATCTTACAATAAGAGATATTATTACACATTGCATCCGATCCGAATCNATTCTGCTCATGCGTGATATAAACAATAGTAAATAATCATGATGATACGAGTAGATCAAGAGTATTGTGTATTGGAAGCCTCTACTGTTTCAGTAAAAAGGAGAGTTCTAAGTTAAAAAAACGTTTTGTTTGCGTGTTGTGTTACATACTTTCATTTTGTATAAAGATAACGAGTTTATGCTTACTTACTGACTAAAATTCGAAATTATAAATAAACAACTTGAAAAAATCGAACTGCCTAATTATTTGTTTATAATTTAGTTTGAGAAGCGACTCTAATCGCTAAAAAAAGTTTTAATAACTATAAAATTCTGAAACCTATATTTTATGATTATATCGATCTTACAGTAAGAGATATTACACATTGCATCCGATCCGAATCTATGAAAAAGAAATTATTACAAAATTTACAAATTACTGCTACATGTACCTACCTACCTACATTCTCGAATTCGGATGCAGTGCGTGATCACTCTTACCGGCTCGTTGGGGATGTCAAAACAAAGTATAATTAGGTACATACAAGTTGGACTACGACAAGTAAACAAATAACGTTCTCATTGTTTGTAATTTCACGCACAAACAGATTCTCTAGCTGAAAAAATATTTGAATCCAATAACTTTGAATGTTCGCTTTAACGTATGTAACCGTAATTGCTTATTAACACTTCAGTATATTTTGATTAATAGGCGTGTGTGTAAACTTTTTTTTTTATGTAAACAATTTCCTATATTCAAGTAGGATAGTAAACCGGACCGGTCTTTGTGGAAATCCTTGGGGGAGGCCTTTGTCCAGCAGTGGACGTCTTTCGGCTGAAACGAGACGACGAGAGTAAATTAGGTACCTAGTGTAGCTAGTCATATGACAAAAAAATTATAAAAAAATAACTTTTTTAAAAACAAGCTTTATTTCGAAAGCTTGTATCGCGCATGGAATTTATTCCTCTTTTTTAGCGCTACAAGCTTTCGAAATAAAGCTTGTTTTTAAAGAAGTTATTTTTTTATTAATTTTATTTTACACTTTTTAGTTGTATCTCAATCTCTGGGCCCTGGTCATCATTTAGCACCAAAGTGCTCGAGAAGTCGAATCCAACGAACCCAAACTCAATAAGTTTCCGCTGTTTCGTTTAGGAGTTCCTATGGCCACCTCCTGACTCCATCATCAGACCAGCTCAATGGTACCATAACATTGCATTGTCATCGTAATTACATAAGTACCTATACCAAATTTCAGCTCAATCGGTTGAGGAGAACTGGTCTTAAATTCAGTTGCAAGATTTGTCCCACACATACTAACAAGTGAAGTCAATATAAAGCTTGCAGTAATAAAAAAATCCTTTTAGGCGATAGAGATCTTAAGTTTAGGAAAGACTACGGTTAACAAGAATGTCTCGGGTTTTTTCTAGATGTTACGAATGTCCATTAAAGATTGCCACATTCCATCAGATGGATCATTAGCTTGTGTGTCGTGCTTTATGTATAAAACCACTATATACATACATATACATCAGATATTACTGAAACTGAAACGGTTAAAATTGTACTGCATTTATATAACTCGGATATTACTTGTAAATGCATAAGAAAATACTATGTGGGTTTTACTTTTATTACATCATCAGAAAATTTTCACAATCAGGTAATAAACACAGTATTATTTAGTATCTAAGCTATTTCGCTAAATTAATACAGTCGCAAATCGAACCCATTGACGTGATGTGTCCCCATATCATTATAAGTTCTCCGTATGGTTTCGTATTTTACACTTAAGTTCAGTTTTCTTCTTCTATCGAGTGGGTTGAAAATTGTGTTAGATGAGGTCACAAGCTTTACCAGAAGTAATCACACTAAAGTTGTGACCTAAAGACCACACTTTCAGGTAAACTCTAACTTTATTTTGGTTTTCGCTTTCGCTGTTTCCCATAAACCGTCCGATGTGGAACACGAGAATTTCAAAATCGTTTTTTGCCGTTAAAACGACCAAATGACGTGCCGATTCCAAATCCTCTACAATCTCGGCGTTATGAATAGGAATCATGTGAACCAGAGCTAGTAATTGGGTGCACTGGAGTAGAGCGGAGCTGGTAATTGATACGGCAAGCGTATAGCGGTACGGCGTGCATCCACGCCCTTCGCATGCATGCTCTGATATGAGCCGAGCCGCAAATGCTTCCCGCCACTTCACTTGTTCACGTTTCAACGCATTTCGTAAGAAAAATCAATAAGTTTCGATCAATCGTCAATTTTACGATCGCGGATAGTTGGTCTTCTCTACACGATGACGGCTCTATTCTGGAGATTTGAGATTTCTTGTTCTAAATCAAAATTAAGTTCAGAAAGTTTTATCTTCTTTTGAGCTTAGAATAAAGTTAATTCGAACATTTAGTATAGTCTAAAATGTATAGAAAGGATTTTCGTTAATTTAAGTGTAAAAATAATCGATCGCGCGAACTCTACATACACAGTGACGGCTCAATTCTAGAGATTTAATAAGCTCTAAATCTTTATCTGTCCAGATTTGAATCTTTTTTTTGGGCCATTAGATCGATCGCGGGATCTCTACACGGTAAATGACGTCGACGTCTTATTCTGACGAAGATTTAATTTTAATAACGTTTAAGTTTATTAAGTTTTATTTATAATTTGCGCTTAGAATATACATACTTTAAATAAAAGCTTACAAAGAAGCTTTCGTTCGTCAAGTGTTTAAAACTACAAAGCAGAATTTCCTAAAATACGTTTACAATTCACGTTTTATCTTTTATTTCAGGTAATAAACCGCTCGTTCGAAATCGGACCTATTACGTTAATTTGAGAAGATGTTCTGAATCGAACTGAAATTGTAGCGTAATTTGAGAAAAGTTTAAACTGTAAACAAAATAATGATAATAGCCAATATTTTTTTACGCACGATTATTGACTTTATCATGAACATCTGATTAATACTTAGTTATTACTCTCATTAACTTTATTTTGAATTATTTATTCGAAATCGATACTCATTAAGTACTTAAAAGGCACCCTTATTATAACTGTTTGTATATTTATGAAAAATAAATAACAAGTACTTACTTTTACGCGTTTCATTTGTGATGTAATTTCAAATTACTGTCTGCTGCTAGAATATATAGTTTGTCCTGAATTTCAGTGAGTTTCACTTCCTGTTACTATTTGGATTATGAAATAACTTTCTTACAATCAGTTTTTTGTTTAATTGTTTACTTTTTTTGCTTGTAAGTACCTTTTTAGTTACGTTTTGGTTACGTTAATATAAATAAATGATTTCAGGCTCTTATTCTTTAATTAATTTTGGTGAATGGATCATTCGGATGCACGGTGTTGCAATGGTTAATAGATGAATACAGTTATGTAGAGCGATATTATCGTATGTTAATTATTATTATGGTTTAAACGCTTTGGTCGGCTACAATAAATCATCTTCGATATTGCATTTAGCTCATCTCTCTACCTTTAGCATCAAAACTACGCCTCGGTGGAGTAGCGGTTGGAGTTGGATTCTTGACTATGGTGGTATGGGCTTTAATTCTTAGTTGGACCATGCATAGTATGAAATAACTTTGTGTATTTATGTGTCTCGGGTGTGGTTGGGGTATCAGTCTCAAATTAAGCTGATTAACCTAAATTAAATTAGGTATCATTCTGTGTTTAATATGAGGCATGTCAGACACCTACCTACGACGGCTCATAGAGCTTGACACCAGTTTTTGTGACGTTAGTAGCTTAATGTTTGATAACAAACTAGAACGTAGGCCTACCTAATAATTCCTTACTAATTTAATTATTAGCAGCTAGCTACAACTTAAGAAGTACTTAAATTAATCACAACAAAAATTTAGTTAACTCCAGTTTAGTTTGTGTAACCTTACTAATTGAGTTACTAGGTCAGCTACGCATTCATGAAAATATATTTTCATTATTATTTTAATCATTTTAGAATTTCACTAATTGTATTAATTGTATTGATTTCAATACATTATTACCTACTTTAATTATTTTTTCCTATTTCAAAATTAGTTTATTACGATTGATGCGTAAATAGAAAAAAGATTTCTTAAGTTACATAAAAAATAATTAACTATTTTATAAATTGGATATAACTAAGTATCTTGCAGACAATATTTTGCTATTAAAGACCAATAAACAACTTTTATTAACTTTACTTTACGGGCCGCTATTATTTATAATATCACTGCAGTTTATAGATAAAAAGTTTTTATATTTATTGCTAAAGAACACGAATATGAAAGGACAAACTGTTTGTTTATACTCGCATCCGCAACTACAATACGCACGTGAAAAACGACGTCGTAATTGTTTTTAAATTTAATTCAATTACTTTAAAAGTTTAACAGATTTATTGAATTATAAGTAACATTTTACACGTTTATTTATTGAATAAAACATTTTAAAATAATAACGTCTTACCAATAGAACATTGACGATGGCGAACCACCGCAAAACGATGCTTGATTTTATTGTCATTATTCACGTTTTACACATAAACTTAGTAAAGATGCGGTCAGGACTCGCGTGGAGTTCACACTGCGTTCGGAACACGGCCAGTTGGGTACACGAAGCCCGCCAAACTGAGCGTTTGGAAGCACCGTGAGCTTCGCGAAATGACTGAATGACGCTCCACAGAGGGAGAAATGGCGGGAGGGCGCGTAGGGGACCGGGGAAACCGCCAACCTCCGGTAATTCACTAAGAAAAGTTATTTGCTCGCTCGCAGACTCGCCGCGGGATTTGTTGTGATAGAAAAAAGACGATTAGGACGCGCTGTTTTTGCAATCGACGAGGATGGGCGATGCGGACCCTAGGTTCTTGACTTTTTACACCAAAACAGACATTTTTCAACTTTTCTATTAATTAGAAAGTTTTTAGATTAGCAGATAAAGTAACGTGTTCAGCGTCTTGATATAGATCGAACTGACAGAGATACGACGTAATTAGTCCGACCTAATACTCGTAATTGTTATGTATTAGGTACCTTCCTACTTACAAATATCAAATTAATTAGGTACCTACCTACTTTTTCAATTGATATTTTTATTGATTATGTAAGTATGTAACTTTAGTTAAGTAAGTGAGTAGGTACCTATTGATGTTCATATGACGCGATGCCTTCCTATTTTAGATTTTTTTTAATATTAAATTAGAAAGAAAAAATGTTTATTCAGTATCATCGACAATACACTTACAATACTTATCATTATTTAATGAGTATGAAAAGGTGTCCACTCAGCATGGTGTCGTAGCATCTCAGTAGATAATGCCACGACCCTGGTCTTCCTTCTTCTTACTTACTTACCTATGTTATACTTAATTTGAGTTTTTACAAAGCGACGAATGACGATTAACACTGAATTCAATAATAAACTCAAACTTTTTTACTGACAACGGAGCTTTTGGCCTGTAGGTATGCATCACGATAGAAAGTGATTATCCGGCCAAAGACCTAAGTATTTAAAATTATTTTCTAATTCTTTTTAATCTAATGATTGAAAGAACTGACTTTTGATCATGTTCGTACCTACTTATCTAATAGTTACGTTTTCATTACCCAAATTGCGGAAATTACAGTAGGTACCTACTTATTGCATTGTACCTATTAATTGGTAACTGCCAATCAATTTAGTTCCAATTTGTAACTCCAATTGTTTAAAATACTTGTCTTATTAATAGGTATTACATATTTGAGGATTTATTACTTACCGAGTTATCTGGGGGCACNTTATAGAAAAAAGACGATTAGGACGCGCTGTTTTTGCAATCGACGCGGATGGGCGATGCTGACCCTAGGGTTCTTGACTTTTTACACCAAAACAGACATTTTTCAACTTTTCTATTAATTAGAAAGTTTTTAGATTAGCAGATAAAGTAACGTGTTCAGCGTCTTGATATAGATCGAACTGACAGAGATACGACGTAATTATAGTCCGACCTAATACTCGTAATTGTTATGTAGGTTAGGTACCTTCCTACTTACAAATATCAAATTAATTAGGTACTTTTTGCAATTGATATTTTTATTGATTATGTAAGTATGTAACTTTAGTTAAGTAAGTACGTGCCTTCCTATTTTAGTATAAAATTATCACTTCACGGGATTTATTGCAACAATATCTATTTTAACGGTAAATAATATTTACCCTCTTTCATCTCTTCAGTCTGCCCGCGACCATGACTCGTGCAACCGAGCCGAAACGTCGGGAGGGTAAATATTATTTACCGTTAAAATAGATATTGTTGCAATAAATCCCGTGAAGTGATAATTTTATAGTAAAAAATGCAACATAATAGTTTAAAATATTCCTATTTTAGATTTTTTTTTAATAATAAATTAGAAAGAAAGAAAAAATGTTTATTCAGTATCGTCGACAATACACTTACAATACTTACTTAACATTATTTAATGAGTAGGTAATGATACTGAAAAGGTATCCACTCAGCATGGTGTCGTAGCATGAGCATCTCAGTAGATAATGCCACGACCCTTGTCTTCCTTCTTCTTACTTAATTACCTATGTTATACCACAGGTTATACTTAATTTGAGTTTTTACAAAGCGACGAATGACGATTAACACTGAATTCAATAATAAACTCAAACTTTTTTACTGACAACAAAGCTTTTGGCCTGTAGGAACTGTAGGAAGGTAGGTATGCATCACGATAGAAAGTGATTATCCGGCCGAAGACCTAAGTATTTAAATTTATTATTTTTAATCTAATGGTTGAAAAAATTGACTTTTGAGCATGTTCGTAACTACTTATCTAATAGTTACGTTTTCATTCAAATTGCGGAAATTACAGTAGGTACTTATTGCATTGTAACCTAATTGGTAACTGCCAATCAATTGAGTTCCAATTTGTAACTCCAATTGTTTAAAATACTTACTTATTAATAGGTATTACATATTTGAGGATTTATTGCTTACCGAGTTATATGTTTGACTGGTGACCTGGTTTGATTACGTCAGGGCTGCTCATCACTGGATATTTTCAGTATTATATATTAAATTAGTTACATACAATAATTTAATAATAATCTACTTGAAAGGTGATACATTTCGTGCAGAGAAAGGATGTGCTTAGGTAATGTTATCTATTAGGTACCTACTAATATTGAGTATGTAATTTGTAAGTGTATAAGTATGTATTAATTTTAAACTTTCGCGTTGCATAATTGAATTAATTTAAACACGTTTTAACGCGATACGGGGATAGGTAATAATGAAATAAGTATTACCTGTATTTGACATATCGCTGACATAGCCCGACGGATTAGCAAGCTGAAGTGGCAGTGGGCAGGGCACATAGAACGCAGAACTGACGGCCGATGGGGCAGCAAGGTTCTGGAATGGAGGCCGCGTACCGGAAAACGCAGCGTGGGGCGTCCACCTACAGGGTGGACCGACGACCTGATAAAGGTAGCAGGAAGGCGCTGGATGCAGGTCGCTACCAACCGTGCGATGTGGAAGTCATTGGGGGAGGCCTATGTTCAGCAGTGACTGTGGACGTCCTGTGGCTGAAATGATGATGATGATGATGACCTGTATTTGCCTGACGTTTCGACCGGGTACTAAAATAAGTAAAATAGAGGTTGTATCCTAGTTTAGTCTTTGTCAGGGGAGGGGAGTCTTAGGCATATACATATACAGGGTATATGTATATGCTGCTGTAATTTTTTGTGCCTTTTGCATAGTAATACATGTTTGATATAACTTTTTGGTTCAATTAATCCGGTTCTGCTACGTTACTTATTTGAGAACTATCTATGTCATTTTTAACTTTACATATGTAAGCCATGTGACATGCAATAAATAATTTGAATTTGAAGCCGCATACTAAGTAGGTACCTACTACCTACCCTACTAATTGCTACTAATTCAACACTACCTACATTTTCATACTGGAGAAATGTTTTCAAAGTTAGTTCGTAGCATAGCGCCATCTCGACACAGTAGAAATAACTTTTAGAACGAAGTAGAAATACTCTAAATTACATAAACCTCAATAGATGTCGCTACTTCACAAATACTTGTAGAATGGTTTCAAGGTTTTTACTTTATTTTTATATTAGCGATTCCATAGCTCCAGAGCAGACACAATGGAAAATAAATATGGTAAAACGCACTCATGCATATTATTAGTTATAGGTGCCTACTTACATAAACGGTTCTCAAAGTAGGTACTGTACCTCTAGCATGAACAACTTTCGTCTTCGAATCGTTTGCGTATTCGACAAAATTCGATACTCAATCTTCGAATTAAACGATAACGTGACAGTTTTGATTTTCAAAATAAGTTTCGTGCAACCATTTCTCATGTTTTGATCTTCATCTTTTGATGGCGATTCGAATACCTACGCAAACGATTCGAACTAGAAAGTTTTTCGTGCTAACCGTACTGAGGTACATACCTACCTAGGTAGGAGTTAATACCACAGAGTACCTTTGTTAGAACCTAGCTAGGTAGAAAACTTATTATTTTCAGCGGACTACTTACATCAAAAAATCATCGGAAGCTTGGATCTCACTCAGTTTACATCACCTACCCTAATATCTTGAATAAAAAAAAGGAAGTACAAACTTATTAGATAGGTAGGTACAGGTAGGTACCAAACCGCCATATTTTATGTACACTCGCGAGCAAAAGTATGGAATCACTTACATGAAGTTGTTTCCACGCGATCTTGTGTACTAACGAATTTGTTAGTAACAAAAAAAGTAGCACCATTTTAAAGATTAAACTTTTAACTTTAAATTGATACCAAATTCATTTAAATCACACCAGTATTTAAAAAGATATCCGGCCTGATGTGAAGAAGTAAGGAAAAAGACATGTATCAACTGTTTGACACGGTCTATAAAAGCACGTGTTTTCGGATTTTTGCTTTCACACGTTGATCCATACACATCTCCGCTTCTTTTGACACTTTACCTGGGATTCTACACCTTCAGAAGCAGCACAAATCGTTGCATTATTGCAAGAAGGGCTCAGCCAGCGGGCTATCGCACGTCAGCTCCACATAAGTCAATCCTGGGTCTCGAAAGTTTTAAGACTCTTTCGGGAGACTGGTGGCTTTATCCCGAGACCAAGTTCTGAACAGCGCCGGTGCACATCGCAGAGGGATGACCGTTTTTTCATGTCAACCTCTCTATGAAATCGTCATTTGACTGGTATCGACGTCCAGCAAGAGCTTAGAAATGTTCGTAGGATAGCTGTTAGCAAGTGGACAGTTCGTCTAAGATATAAGCAATAGAATTAGACTCCAAAAAGGCCTGCCACAGGCTCGAAACTGACGGCAGATCACCGATAAGCACGCTTTCAATAAACAGTTGATAAGTACAATGTCTTTTTCCTTACTTCTTCACATCAGGCCGGATATTGTCTTTTTAAACACTGGTGTGATTTAAATGAATTTGGTATCAATTTAAAGTTAAAAGTTTAATTTTTAAAATGGTGCAACTTTTTTTGTTACAGACAGGTTCGTTAGTACACAAGATCGCATGGAAACAACTCCATGTAGGTGATTCCATACTTTTGCTCGCGAGTGTATTAAGTAAAAACCGTCGGTTAAATAATGTAATGTTTAATGATTATGGATGAACTTTGGGGGGTGTGGTAAGTAGTGG